GTTCAAAAGATATTTGTTAGACAAAGCTTTGCTTTGATCTTTGAGTCTTCTTAGTCTTGTCATACGTAAAAGTCATTGGTTAAAGTCAACTAGTCAAAACATGCTTTCTTTCTTTTTTCAGTACTTTGAGAAAAGTAGGCAACACAATTTTCTGGCATGACTTTTGATGAGGAGAACATTTTGTGAATATCTTCTTTATTCCTAACTTTCACTTTTAATTTATATACGATGAAGCAAGTGGATGCGTCTAATAGAAAATCTGCACAAAATAGAGTAGATATGCATGCATCAGATATGTCATTTCTCTTATCACTTATTGTTTTTAAATATTGAGCATTTAATGGTATTTAATGTCTGTTCAGAACAACAAAATATTTTTTACATTTTCTACCGTTTAGGTAAGATTTGATCGTTTAAGTTTTTCACTAAGATACCAAACAGTTGATGAAGACTTCACTGTTGGATGAAGTAGATCATTTGACACATGATATAGTCTAGCCTATGTAAACCATTCTTTAGATTTTTCTTTGTTCTATTAAGGAATGTGTTTAACAAGGTGTCTTTTAACACAAGCTTTTGGAATACCATTTGAGATTTTTAACGTTCTTTCCAAAAACATCTTTTGACACTTTTATCTATCAAGACATATTAAGAGTTTGTTTGATCATCACCTAGTGATGTATATCATTCGTTGCATTCAACAAGACTTTCATTGATGCACTAATTAGTTTGGTGGTGCGAATGTTCATACTAGGTGTTTTCTACTAAGGCTTTCTTTAAGGTATTGAGGTTTTTCAAAGCATTTTCACGAATCAATTATATCTTATATATATTGTTATTCTAATGATAACACTATCACATGCTCATTTCGTTTAATATTTTGTTAAACTTTAAAATATATAAGAGCGTTTAGATATTATCAACAATCTTGTCTTAACAAGTGTAATATATCTTTAATACATACATGATGTAAAAAAGAAAGTACTAAATGAAAGTATCATATATTTACATCCTTAAACTTTTGTTTAATTGGGAGACTAAATAAAGATTGATGCTTATGATGTGTTTCTACTTTCCTGTCATTTATGTTAAAAAGTAATTTTTAATAAATATATTAGTATAACATTTATACAAATAATAAATTTTGTCTCAATTTAGAGAGGAACAATATTGCTCCATTTTGAGAAAAATTAGGACTAAATTGAATTAAAGAGACATATACAAGGACTAAATTGAAATCAAGACAATAACACTTAGACATTAACACTAACATGTGGTAGTACCTTGCAACATGACATTGACAATATCACGTGTCACATTAAGAACTTGACACATGGCAACAAAATTTTTTGTAAACAAATTTAAAACATAAACAAAAATAAATATTAGTAATTGTCACGTGACATGCTGTTACGTTATTAGTAATTTTTTTTAAGAGAACCTAATTGAGACATTTATTCAAAAGTTAGGACACATGGCATACCATTAATGCTATTAGTAATTTTTTTAAGTGGATCTAATTGAGACATTTATTCAAAAGTTAATACGCAATTGAAACTTTTTTCAAAAGTTAGGGCACAATTGAAACTTTTTTAAAAGAGAGGGCTAACTTGAAGCGTTTCAACCAAATAAGTAATTAAGCCTAAANAAAACATAAACAAAAATAAATATTAGTAATTGTCACGTGACATGCTGTTACGTTATTAGTAATTTTTTTTAAGAGAACCTAATGGAGACATTTATTCAAAAGTTAGGACACATGGCATACCATTAATGCTATTAGTAATTTTTTAAAGTGGATCTAACTGAGACATTTATTCAAAAGTTAATACGCAATTGAAACTTTTTTCAAAAGTTAGGGCACAATTGAAACTTTTTTAAAAGAGAGGGCTAACTTGAAGCGTTTCAACCAAATAAGTAATTAAGCCTAAATTAAAAAAAAAGTCTCTATAATTGATGGAAGCTCATTTACAAGTTGTTCTTAGGATTGTCTAATATTTGAAAGAGACACCAGGAAGATGAATTTTGTTAGTCTTGAAGCATATATTAATGATGATTATGCATGATGGATTGTTGATAAAGAGGAGGAGGATAACTCTTTAGTAGTACCTCTTTCTCTAGAAGAAATTTAATTGATTGTTGATTATGCATGAAAGTTATTTAATTGACAGTGATTAAAGTAACCTTATCATGATTCATGACGAGGAGTCATTCAAGGAATTAAAAGCATAGAAACTTCAAATGTCAGAATTGGAAATAGATAACATATAGTGGTTAAGGAAAAAATGCTATTGCAATTGAAAGTTGTTTTGAAAGAAAATTTATCGCCGAAGTGATGTATGTTACAAAAATTTGACCAAAATCTATTAAGTGTTGGTGAAGTGGAGGATGGATATAAAGTTTATCATGAAGACTAATATTGTTTGATAAAAAAAAAAATGTGTCTTTGGTAAAGAAATGCTCAAGGTGAAGATGAGAGGAAGAACTCCACCTTAATCTGTTATAGAAAGAACATGCTGCTATTCCAATTAAAGAGAATATCAGGCATAACATGTTTTGTTACTATCATCATCAATGATTGTTATTAGTTCAACCAAAATAATTGGTGAATAGTTTACCAAATTTAGATGTGTATCTTCCTTATTGCCAAACGTTAGATTTGAAAGCAACACCAAAAATCTTATCTGAAAACAGTGAGGAAGGAAAAAAAAAAGCTTCAGTTGATCTTTATGATTTATGTGGACCATAAATAATACCGTCTTTCAAAGGTAGTTTATCCTATATCGTGTGTTCATAGATGATTTTATAACATTTTATTGGATTTTAACCTTTAATCAAATTTAAATAAGTTATAACTTCAACATAATTTAAATTGAATTATCACCTCTCAAATTATTTCAAACACCTGTATTTGCTCATAAAAGCTAGTCCTTAAAATCCTTAAATTTATGGACCAACTCCAATAATTAAATAATAATTATATTTTAAAAATTAAAAGGTACTTTATTTTATTAAAATATTTACATATGTTATAATTTATATTTCAAATTATTATATTTAAAATTAAAATAATTTAAATTTTAAAAGTCTATTCTTTATTTTAAATTATATTTTAGTTTTTCTAATGTAGGTGAAAATAGTAAAAATCACCATCTACTTTAAAATCAGATATGGTCTGCTGCTTTTAATTTATATTTTCTCGCTGATATGTTTTCAAAATATATTTATATGTATTGATTTCAATATTTTAAATTATATTAAGTTTTTTAATATATTTTGAAGGTCTAAAGGGACAATACCAAATTAGGTTTTGCTCTTATCGATAATTAGGTCTAAATTGAAAGAGTAGTGTATTCGCGGTCTTTTGCGGCAGTTGTGATTCTTTTTTATGACTTTGCTACTGCCGTAAGATCAATGGCAGTTTATATTGTGTACACATTCACTATTGCGGATTACATTTGAAGTCAAGCTTTCAGAGCAAATATAAACTACGGGGAGAATGAAAACATCATAAAAAAAAAGCTAATAAAGCAAGACCATTCTTCCAAATTCGTTTAGCACCTCTTAGCCTTCTTCATCACTGTCATTTATAGACAACTCCTGATGTGTGAAATGGTAAAAGAAAGTATAACTTTGTTTAGATGCACAACTATAGGTCTCGACCAAACTACAGAACGTTAGAGCATTGAAAATGCTGAATCAGGTAACTAAAACCATATAAAATTTCTTTTTAAAACAAGATGTTTTAAAGTCTATATAAAACAGAGTATGATTGAAATGTGATGAAAAGAAAAAAAAACACTATGCAATGACGGGTGGCCTCAACTTTTAAACTCCAGGATAAATGTTTTTTGAGAATTACAGACTCTGTCAATGCATTTCATTGTTAATCGAACACATTAAACTAAAAGAAACAAGAACCAACAAGTGAACTTTTAACCCAAAAATGTTTTTCCTTTCAAAACTAGAGAGCTAAGCCACACAACAGGGCAGAAGAAACAACAGCACAAAAAACAAATCAAACAAAATTGAAACAGAAACATTTAAAATGGATTAAAACTTGTTTTAGATACAAGTTAATTGCAAAAAATTAGGAGTTTGGCACCAACGGGTAATACTTACATTATGCATTAGGGTTGTCAAACACAGTCTGCACTAAAGAACTAAGGGAAAGTCCAAAGCAAACTCTCACATGCATTATTAATGAGTGTGTGTACATGATCAAAACATTAATCAACAACTATATATATATATATATATACATACATATATATATATATACATATATATATATATATATATATATATATAGATATGTATGTATATATATATGTATGTATGTATATATATATATATATATGTATGTATTCCTCAATCATAAAGCCATAATCTACAGAAAACAAAGTAATCCTCCTCAAATAGTTCAAAACTAAAGTAGACACATTGCCGGAAATTATTATATAATTTAACAATGACAAGAATTCACAATAGCTCAGCATCATTTTATGCATCTGGTACAAACATAAAAGTAACAACATCTAAATTCTACAACACTCAGGAAAAAAGATGCATCTATAAGACTAATGACCCTTAACCTTATCATCTGCCACAACATTGAGAATGGGCAAGCTACTGAGGAACTCATCAAGGCCTTCAAAAAACCCAATCCCTTCAATATTATCCTCAGCATGTCCAGCAGCATTCCCTTCACGATCGCGCACTCCACGGGAAGGCTCCTCCACCTCATTGCTGAACTCCACATTCAAATCCAACTTTCCCAAGTTTCCAGCACCCCTCCTTCTCGAACCACCCAACGCAGTCTTCTTACTAGACTCCGCCCTTGCACCAGAAGGCATAGGAGAGGCAGCATTAACTTTGGCATTAGCATTGACTTTGGTATTAGCATTGACTTTGGCATTAGCATTAGATTTGGCACTAGAATTAGCTTTGACACTAGCAGTAGCAGTAGCACCAGCAGCTGTAACAGGATCACCTGAACCCACATTCTCATGCCCTGTATGGACACCCCTCCTAGCTCTCCCCACAGTTTCCCTCCTTCTATCACCAGAATCTTTATTAACTCTAGTCTTCTTCCTCCCACTCCTCTTCACAACCCTCCAGTCTCCATCCCCGGAATCGTCGTCACTGGGATCGGATAACTCGATAAACGCGGCGGCAGCCTCTTCATCATAGTAATCCCAGTTCCTCTTAGGCTTACTATAGGACGACCCCTTCAAAGGGCAAGGAAACAAAGGGGAAAACGGGTTCCAATTGGAGGATAACCCGTTCACGTCCTTCGAATCCCCAGAAAATCCCAACGGGAAAAAACCCCAACTGCAATAGGAACCGTCTTTCCCATTCAACGGCGGTGGCGACCGTATCACCACCGCATGAAACCCTCTTCGGCAACTCTGACACCTCAAGGTACATTCCTCGTACCCCTTTGGGTATTCATACAAAACGTAACAGTAAGGGCACGAGGTCCAGAAACTCGTTCCACCGTCGGTTTCGACGGTTCCGGTCTGCCGAGTCGACTCAGCGGACTCGGTACGATTGGAGTTCGGCCGAGTCGTCTCAGCCGAATCATCCCTCGATCTAGGGTTTCGCCTGGGCGTGGGTTGGGGCTGTGCAGGAGGAAGAGGACGCGACGGGGCCTGCGGCGGCGGAGTTGTGAGCAGCCGGAGATCGGTGTCGTACATGGCTTTCTTGGCAGGATTAGAGAGTACGGACCAGGCGTCGTTGACGAGGGACAAGGCGTGGCTGGCGAAGGCGAAGAGGTTGCGGCTGGGATCGAGGAGATGAGCGAGGCGGCGATACTGGGAGGAGATGTGGTCCATGTTGGTGGTGTAGCGGAGGATTTGGAGGATCCCGTACCAGTCGCAGTGGTGGTCGTTGATTCGCGACTCTCCCGCCAGGAGCGTGTCGATCACCGTCAGGAGGTGCTCGGAGGCCTCATAAGTCGGGTCGGACTCGCGCGCGCGGATCGCGAAGGAGCGCGCCCCGTGCAGGTCCCTCGCGGTCAACAGCTTGTTCGCAGTGTACAGCCACCGCTCCGCCTCCGCTCGGTTTCCTCCACCGCTGCTGTCCATGGTGGCTCTCACTCTTGGAAACGGACAAGAAAGGACACGGAGTTAGAGATTCAGGGTGTGGTGGGCGAGGGCAGTTTCGTCATATCATACGGTAATAACTGAAATCAAATGATATCACATCCACATGAATGCTCTTTGTTAGTGCTGAGCTGCGGCGGAGCCAATCGATGTTTTTATTTTAATCCCTTTTTATTTATTTATTTTTTAAATTTGGCTTTGTTAGTTTTATTGTGCGCTTCATTCCATGGTAGTTACGATGCTCTCTCACTTTGATTTGGCAATAGCCAATGGCACACACATCAAGAGACTGTGTTGGTGAGGTGTTGAATTCGTATGCGGTAGCAGAAACAGAATCAATTGATTGGTCGATGTAATACTTGTTACTAAAACACAGAGAGCATATGATTGCTCCTGCAGGCAAAGTCATCTTATAGAGACAGCAGGAAATTATGTTTACCAGTATCTTAGAGTGTGGATAAAATAAGATTGCCCCATTTTCACCTTTTTTACAACTTTACACTCCTTAGTTGTTTAAATTTCAGTGAAAAATCTTGGTTTCTTTAATTTTTTTAAATATGAATAAAATAATTTTCTTTTGTAATTTTAGTATATTTTACCTATAACAATATAAACAAACAAACTTTCACCAAATTGACTTTTCTACCCCTCTTACTATTTTAACACATGTTTATATTGTTAGGTTTTCAAGTCCTTCTCTCATTGGTTTAGTCAGTTTATGATTATACCATCAACCAATTTTGGGACCAATAAAGATGCAAAAAGATTTTTTTGGTTTCGTTGTCTTTTTACATTTTTCGCTCTTTCTTTTGTGGCTCGAACTCTGTTGGTCATTGATTGATGGATGGAAGTTTAGATAGTGCAACAAAAGATAATATTTGAGTTTTATACAAATTTCATTTTGCGTTTTCCAAAGAAGTTAAAGAAAATGAGTGGAGAGAGAGAAAAATATTAAAGAAAAAGAGTTGAGAGAGAAAGAAATTGAAGAGGAGTTAAGAGAAAAAGAAATTAAAGAAAAAAGGAATTGCGAGAAAATGAAATCAACATAAAGGAGTTGAGAGAAAAAAAAGGAGTTGAGAGAAAAAGAAATAAAAAAAAGAGTTGAGAGAAAAGAAATCAAAGTAAAAGAGTTAAGAGAAAAATAAATTAAAGAAAGAGTCGAGAGAAAAAGAAATTCAAGATAAAATTTTAGAAGAAAAGGAAAAGGAAATAAAAAGAAAAAGAAGTGACAAAGAAAAAGGAAGGAAAGTATAATGATAAAGATTATGTGTTTTATGCAAATATTATTGTTTTGTCCATAATAACTTTTAGTTAGATGTTGCAACAATTATTTGGTCTTAATCAATTAATAGTGTGTTCACTGATTCTAATTCTAAATTGAAAAATTAATAAAATGATGATATTTAATCCTAATATTATGTTTCAATTAATAGTGTGTTCACTGATTCTAATTCTAAATTGAAAAATTAATAAAATGATGATATTTAATCCTAATATTATGTTTCTCTTAGGAGAAGTATATTCGTAACATTAGAGGATTAATGTACTTGGAAAAGGAAGAAATGGTAGGATATTGACGGGTATTTTGAGTTTTCTTTGTAATTTTTACCTTTTAATTAAATATAAGAAATAATGATTCATATAATAAGAATTAAATACAATGTTAATGGGTATTAAAAAGTACTTTTTTAAAATTAATGTGGAATTTAGAGAGTCTTGCCTATTTCATCTTATAAAAAGGAAACACTTTGTAATAAAATGATATATGTGTTTCACAAAAAATGAGATTTCTATATGTGAGAACCTTTTGGAATTCTAAGTTAAAATAATCCAATTTTTATTTTATCATGACAACTTATGACAATCAACTCGATGAATGAGGGTTGTGTTGACTGTGCTGTTTGACGCAACAATGTACAACTGTAAATAATGTCCTTGCATTGGTCGGGCCACTACAGGAGGATTAGCCAAGATGTCCTTCACTTTATCAAAAGCCTTTTCACATTGTTCATCTCACTGCTGGGTGATCCCCTTTTTCATATTCTTAAGAATAGGTTTAACATGCTCGGCTAGTCGTGGGATAAAACGTGACAAGGATGTCAACCTGCCAACTAAGCGTTGTGTTTCCTTTAAATTGGTAGGACTTCTCATTTTCAAGACCGCATGGCATTTGTCCGGATTGGCCTCAATTCTCTGAGAGGTTAACATGAATCCCAAAAAGTTCTCGACAGATACACCGAAAGTGCATTTAGAAGGATTTAACCGCATACCATACCTTCGTACTTGTAGAAAAACTTCCTCCAAGTCTTGGAGGTGTTGCTTCATGGACTAACTCCTGACTACCATGTCGTCGACGTATACTTCCATACATCTTCTTATCTGATGATGAAATATTTTGTCTATTAAACGTTGGTAAGTGGCTCCATCATTTTTTATATCGAACGACATTACTTCTTAACAGAAATTGGCTCGTTCAGTTATGAAAGCTATCTTTTCTTGATCTGGTGCAAACATAGGGATTTGATTATACCCCGAGTAGGCATATAGAAAGCTTAGCACTTCATGACTCGAAGCACCATCTACCAATCTATCAACACTGGAAAGGGGGTAAGAGTCTTTAGGGCATGCTTTGTTTAACTCTGTGAAGTCGACACACATCCTCCATTAGCCATTTGATTTTTTGACCATGACTACATTTGCCAACCATGTAGTATATGTTACCTCCGGAATGAATCTTTCCTCAAGGAGTTTGGTAACCTCCGCTTGTATATCATTTCTCTTCTCTTCGCAGAACCTTCGTTTCTTCTGAGCCACCAGCGTGCTTCCTCGAATATGGCTAGTTTGTGTGTCATAACGCTCAGATGAATCCCAGGCGAACAAATCCGCATTAGCTTTCAAAAGTTTCCCCATATTTTCTTCGTCAGTCTCTTCTAGCCTTCCTCTTATAGATGTCACCCATGACTTGTTTTTCCCAAGCACAAATTGCTTAATATCTGCTTGAGGTTGTATGCGGTCACCGATGTTTATTCGCGGGTCGAGATCAACTGCAGCAGTTTCTGCTGCCCTGCTCTTTCTAGGGGGAATGAAAGGTATGACTTTTAAGCCATCAACATATCATTCTCGATTGATCCGCCCGCACAGTACATATGGTTCCTTTGTCCGAAAGGAAACTTCATGGTCAGATGAGGGGTGGATACCATAACTCTGAAAGCGTTCAAACATGGTCGTCCCAATAAGACATTATACGAAGTATTTGCTTCTATTAGTAAGAATCTTATTCTGAGCTCTTTCACCTCTCTACATGTTCCAAGTCAAGTCCTCAAGCCTAAATATCCTCGAGTATCGACTCTTTCTCTTGCGAACCCCACAATTTGTTCATTGAATGGGGCTATTATATCTTCAGATAAATCCATTTTTAGGAATGTTTTCCAATATAAGATGTTGATTGAACTGCCTTGACAACACCTTATTGACATTGTATCGAGCTATTTCGGTTGTGATGACCATGGGATCATCTTGATCAGAGTCAGGGGAATGGAAGTCTTCATTAGTAAAGGTAATAGGTGGCAAAGATCAAGACTTTCTATCCACCATGTGAACAATTTTCAAGGTCCTTAGGTGCGTTTTGCGGGCCGAGGAGGATGTTCCTCCTCCTACGAAGCCTCCATAAATGGTATTGATATGCCCGTGAACCGATCGCTCACGCCCGTGATTGTGACCGCGACTGCGGCTACAACTGCGCCTCCGTCTTCGGTCATCATTTTGGTACGATCGTTCGGGGCTTCTGCGTAGATATTTTTCCCTAGGGGGGGAGGGGACTTCTTACTTGGACCTTTTCTTCTTTTACATATTTACTCAGATGGCCTGCTTGGATGAGCCTTTCTATTTCATCTTTCAACTTAACGCATTCCTCTGTGGTATGGCCACGATTCTGATGGAAATGACAGCTCTTCCTCTCGTTTGCATTTTTAGGAGTTGGTTTCTTTCGGAATGTGAGAAGTTCAGTGTTAAGGGCTTCTTCGAGAACCTTTGCCCTAGGTGCATTGAGGGAGGTATAGTGATTAAACTTTGGGTATCTGAGGAGTATCCCTCCGAGGCTACCCTCCGTTTTTGTCGTTATTGCCGAACGATCGCTTCCCTTCCTTCTTGTTTCCACCTGTAGAGGCTTCCTATTGTTGGTTTTTCCTTGAGTTTCTAATATCTTCAATACGAATAAACTCGACAATTCTTTCTTGGAGTTCGTCAATAGTTTTGGACGGTTGTGCATATAAATTTTTCAGCAAATGATCTTGTCCTTAGGCATGAAGGCAAATTGTTGATGATAAAAGTGTGATTGATATCTTTAACTCGTCGTGCGGTTTCATTATATCTTTTCATAAAGGCCTTCAAGGTTTTCTCCTTTTCTTGTTTGATGTTTACTAATTTCGCCGGCGTTAGCTCTTGTACCCGACTGGACGCGTATTGTTTTCGAGAAAGAGTTTCAACAGTAGCGAAACAATCCACTATGTTTGGGAGAAGGGTGTTGTACCATGCTAATGCCTCCTCCTTGAGTGATAATGAAAAAGCTCTGCACATGACCAGATCGTTGTTCGTATAGAACGCCATTGCGTTAACGAACGTCCTGAGGTGATCGTCTGGATCAGTTGAACCATCATATTTATCCAATGTAAGAGGAGCTTTTTCCGGCATATGAGTTTGTATGATAGCAGCCGTGAAGGGAAGTAAATTGGTAGGCCGAACGGTTCGCAAAGGCGTCGGGTTATGTGTTATTTCGTTATTTGCTTCCCTTCTTTCCTGGCCATTCAAATTGGTGTGGTGGGACGATTGTTGATTTTGACTTGCCTCATGGTCACTATCGCGGTTGTGAACTTGTTGGGTTGTTGATGCCGTATGTTGAGCGGGTTGCTCAGCATGAGCATGTTCCGCCCTTAGTGCCGCGATTTCCTCCCCGTGCTTCCGTTGCATCTCTAACAAATGTGCTTGCATTTGTACTTGCATATCTCTTATAAGCTCTTTGGTGCTTTGTTGCTCCTCCATGTTTCTCGTGGTCACCATTGGGTTTCTTCTGCTTCTCCCTCGCCCCACGGTGGACGCCAAAATGTTTCTGTATGGATATGTGTAGGACTGAGAAACGTACCATTCTGATGTAGCT